CTGTATAATAATAATAATAATAGATCTAAAAATAACAATGTTAACAAAGCTTCAGTGCAAAATAAACAACTAATGGTAGCGATAACAGCCACATGCATTATTGTTGAAGTTAAAAAAGGCACACATTAGAAATGCTGCTCAGTAATCACTAATAGGGATGGGCTGTATGTTCGCGTTGAACATGAGTTCGACTCGAACATCGCTAGTTTGAGCGTTTGCCGAACGCACAAACTTTTTGGGATGTTCAAAGTCTTTTCAATCGCGCAACATCCCACAAGGCAATACGCCTTTTGAAACTCTAATTGGGTAAAGGCTTGCACCTGACTACATGCGATATACACCTGACTACATGCGATATGCAATATACATAGGAACTGTAACTGTAAATGTAACAAAAATAAAAATAGATGTTATCCCAATAGGGCTGCAATTGTAGAAATGTACTTTACGTTTTTTTAAATTTCTGCAACAACATATTTGCTTTTAGTTTTTGAACATTTATTTGACATGTATTAGATAGGGGTGTAAACATTTAAGTGATGGGTGTTAGATAGGGGTCTAAAGAAATTAGAAAGTTGTTCGTACAACAGATGTTTCACATATGTCTTTTGTATATGTGTAGCCATAATCTTTTTATATAATAATTATTTATAAAGTTTTACAGGCGAGTATACATTGTAAGCAGTACCATCACAATTTCAAATGAATAACAAATTATTTCTTAAGTCATAGCAGACAAGATGACCATGTGGAAAATCCTCTGACATGGTATGCCTCCCAGGAAGTACTGTAAACATTAAAGATACCAGCATAATATATATTATGTAAGAATCTGTACCAAGTCTGGTCAGCAACAAGTATTGCTCCTGGACCCTGGCTTGTATCTTGATGTCAAACCTTTTTAACGTCTATAAACCTATAAATAAATAGGTGGCCATAGTTTTAATTTTTTTTATCTTTATGACAATAAAAAGAAGGTCCAAACTTACTTTATTGCCTTATAAATAGCATAGGCGATGTGATATTTAGGATATTTGTTGCAGTTTAGGTACTTTCAAAATATATCAGAGATTCATAACAGCTACTAAAATACAATCTCATGCAAAACAAAATGAGCTAAGTCATTTTTGAGCCTTTGTTGTACTGGAAATAGATAACTCACATATGTGGGGAAATTGCCCACATTGCAGAAGTGCTTTTTTACATTCTAGGGGGAATGTGTACAATTAAAAAGGGGGTACCCCAATGCAAATAAGCCCCCCTGTCCGTAGACCCCCACAACAAGCACCAGGTGTTGAAAAAAATGTTTTATTTTGTACAATAGTCATGAACAATGGCACTAAGTGAAAAATGTAGTAGGTAAATGAATAATTCATTAATTAATGTACTTGGCTGTTAGCTACTGCACATGTAGTGTGTATAGAAGAATCTATGGTGTTCCTGCAGAATAGAGCCTATCCAGTTATGTTAAAATGCTGAAAGTATAGATGGACCTGAAAAAGCTCTGCATGTTTTATCGGAGACCAAGCAATAAACATGATTGCCACACACATACTTAGTATCCCTGTAATCAGTACAAACAGAGTATTTTTTGCTAGATCTGTCTAACGATCTAGCAAAAATAACAGTTTGCTATTTTTATGTGAGAATCATAGACATTGTACATTTTTCTTTTTTTTCCTTAGTATTGCCATGCATAATAAACATAAATCAAAATGTTATTTTGCTTCCAAAAGAAAGATAGAAAGTATAAAAGCACAGCCATAAAGGGGTTGATGACGAGACTCTCTGTATACAGGTGAGAAAAGATATGCACTATATATTCCATCCTTTTTCTTTGAAATCAGCAAAATTTATTTTTAAACATTTTCAGTTAAAATGTTGAAATCTCTATTTGAGTTGATATAGATAATTATGTTTCTAACATCTAGAAGATCAATTTCAAACTCATATGGTCTAGGTTTGTTATTATTGATTTATGCAGTATCAAGGACAGTGCTAATTCAAATTAATTTTTTTATGACCTTCCTATATTCTGATCCCATTTGTCAACACAGTTCACTTAACAGTGTCTTTGAATGCTAAATTTTTTAATCAAATCTACCTTTTGCTTATAAATGAAAGTGTGGCCTTGGGCCTACTAGTCTATTTCTTGTTGCCTCAGTTAATAAATATTGGATGCTCCTTGAAGAAAGGATTTATTTTACCAATTTCCTCTTTCATGTCAATTTCCAATATTCAGAGCATGTCTACTATGAGACCTATTTAACAAAAAAATAGAAATGGTAAAAGCTGAGTGGATTCACTAAAATTCTAGGTGAAAAAACTAGAGTTTTTACATGTATTGGAAACTGATTTCCAATTCTGTTAAACTGGTCTTGGAATCCAGTTACACCTGTCATACAGTATATGCAGGTCCCTATATTCCAGTTTATCCTGGTCAATTATTCATCCACCAAACTGTTGGCTGACAATAAAGGAGCCAAAGTGCAAAGATTTTCTAGTGTTCTTCCCCACATTTATAGCATTAGACTAACATCAATGTGCAAAATACTAGAGCCCTGAGAATGTAATCACTATGGGGTCTATTCACGAAGCAGCCGAAGGATCTAGCCGTAGCTTCGGCCGATCCTTCAGCCGATCCTTCAGCTAGCTTCGGCCCCATGACCCCTTCGGTTCAGTAGAACCCGAAGGGCTGCTGTACGGGCTATTCAGTATAGCCCGTCGGCTCAGGCGAGCCGAAGGCTTTAGGAATGCATTGCTAGGTTTCTATTGGCTATTTCAATTTGCAATAGCCAATAGCAAACTAGCTATTGCACCCGCCCACTGCTGCAGTTCTCCATATGGTCCCCACTAGTGATTGACATCAGCAGAGGGCGGGTGCAATAGCTAGTTTGCTATTGGCTATTGCAAATTGAAATAGCCAATCGGAATCTAGCAATGCATTCCTATGGCAAAATACTTTTTTTTTCTTTCTTTTGACGGCAGCAGAACCGCCGGCCAATAGAAAACAGTTGGGCGGGACTAGCTGTCATTGCTAGCTCCGCCCAATCATTTTCTATTTTTTTTCTACTTTTTAAACTATTTTTCTGTTCTGCTCGGTCCCACAGAGGGACCGAGCAGAACAGCCGAGCCGAATGCCGCTCAGCGGCTAAGTCGAACTACTTCTGCACTTCAGGTCGCCCAAACATGCTGTGCATGTTCGGGCGACCCGAAGCCAGCCAATGTATGGCTCATTTCAGCCGATATACAGCTGTAATCAGCCGTACAAATCTGAAGCGAATAGCCGAACAGTGTTGGCTCACTTCACTTCAGGTCGGTCTGTCACTCGGCTGCCTTCGGCAGCTTAATGAATAGACCCCTATGTCTTTCTTTACCCTTTAGGCCAGGGGTCTCAAAGTACCGGCCCGCAGGCCAATTGCAATTGGGAGAAAAAAATTTGTCCAGTGGCCCCTGAGTGATTTGCATTTGCAACCCCTGCTTTAGGCCAAATAAAACACTGTCATCTTCTGGATCCCGCGTTCGCCTGCAATGCCATGTCTTTAACAGTTCCACTCTCAGAAACAGATACACTATTGAAGATAATGATAACCTAATATAAAAATATTTGTTTGCACATTTGTGAGCCTCTAATTAAAACAGAGCATGGTTTTTAAATAGTGCACTGAACATGAAAAAATTAATACAAAATTTAGGTGTGCAGGTTAGTCATAGAATTACGGTTACGTTAACTGGGACAGGCTGACACTGCAAAATTTGGTCTGGGAATTTACAGTAGGCATCAGAGATCTCTGGACACAAAAGGTTTAAAATGTGTCATAATTCTTCAATTGTGTTTTTATACCTGCCTCAAATTCAGCATTAATATCATATTTCCTGCTTTAAATTCAAAGCACGTCAGTAACATTTTCTAGTGATTAAATACTAATGGCCACACAGGTTACACATTGCCTATGTCCCCAAAGCTAAATTAAGATTATCTTACAATCCCCCCACAACAGAGCTTTTACACATTATTATCTGTAGAAATATTATGTGACTGCCACTATATAAAGCACATCTTAAATGTTGACAACTTCAAAGATGCAAATAAATAAATTGGTACATAAATACAATTTATAATGCCTTGTACTACCTTGCCTTGAAGAAAAACAGACATATCCTAATTTGGTTTATCAAGTTTCTTCTAGCATTGATAAACATTTTTTTTATAGTAGCAACATAATTACAAACATATTTAAAAAGGACTATTGACTCCACTTAATAATTGGTAAGATATAGCACATGAGAAAACATAATTTCTGTCTAATATAACTGGTTGCTAAATTTCCTATGTAAGTCTTGAAAGCAACGCTCACCACTGGAAGCTGTGTGATCTAAGCGAAAACACTGTTACTAGGTTACTGTTACCAGTTACTAGGAACCTCAAATACACACTCCAGCAAAAAAATATATTTTACATACCGAACCGTAAATTATCAATAAAATGGTATTCTGTGATTGGAGGAGGATATATGTTGTCACACCCACCTTCTCTCCTACTCTAATCACAGAATGGCTGGTATTCTCTGAAAACATATAAGACATTTTGTGAATGGACAATAGTGAGGAGCAGCAAGTGATGCGACTGGAATGTTGCACTGATTGAGTCACATCTCTCCATCTCCTCAGTGCCCGGAAGCTTGGTGTTACTTGCAGGAGACAGTGTACGGCAAGATACGATCTTTATACTTTGCAGCCACCCTCAGGACATAATACACAGTTTGTTTTTTTTATTTTCACAAGTGTGGTGTGTAAATTTTCATTTTCTCCAGGGTCTGGCTTTAAACCTTATTACAGGGACGTTTGGAATTCACATTTAAAACGTAGTGTAAAAAGATCAAATTAACATAAGTTCACTCATGGATGATACTTTTAGAAAGCTCAATTCATGATTTAAGTTTTCTTCCACTGTAAATATGGGTGTATTTATTTTTCTTTATATTAGTTCACATATTTACCTTGAAGAGAAGTTCGCCAATTAACCCATTCCATGTACCATCTTCTTGGAGACTTCCATACTTATGATCTGGAGCAACATATATTTCATACTTGAATCCCAAATAGTTTGATAAGGCATCAAGGACATCAATAGAAAATCCTTGGTATTTCTTTGGCTTTCCCAGGACATTTTCTAAAACCATAACAAATGGTTCTTCCTGAAGAGAGAAAATTAAAACAAAACATGTACTCTTAGTAAAAGGAAATAAAGATTGCAAAGGTTCAAAACAAATGACAGGTTGCAAAAGAGTGCAAGATAAATCCCCCCCAAATTATTTGAATATATTAATAGCAAAGAAATCAGATCTGAGCATGTAAGCCCCTTACACAATAACTTAGAGTTGGTAACTGGGGACAAAGAGAAGGCAATCTCTTAAATACTTTCTTCAGCTCTGTGTACACCAAGGAACAGGATTTAACTCAAGTCCATAGCCTCTACTGAACCACAATGGCTGACTATTGATATGGTTCATAAATAGTTAGACAAAATTAAGGTGAACAAAGCACATGGACCTGATGGCTCACACCCACATGTCCTCAAAGAATTGAGCTGTGCCATTGTATCTAATTTTTAGAGCCTCTCTTATGACTGGCTTAGTACCGATGGATTGGTGCCTATATTGAAAAAGGGATCAAAGTCTTTGCCAAGTAATTACAGACCTGTAAGCTTGACTTCAATAGTTGGGAAGAGACTTGAAAGTTTGAATAAGGATCACATGCAATTGCTTTTGCTTGAAAATAATATTGTAAGCAATAGTCAGCAGGGGTTCACAAAAGACAGAAGTTGTCAATCAAATCTCCTTTCTTTTTATGAGGAAGTGAGTAATAAATTGGATAGAGGAATGGCTGTGGATATAGTATACTTGGACTTTGCAAAGTCGGCTAATCTATACGTTAAGGTCTGTGGGTATAGAGTATTCAATCTGTAATTGGATAGAAAACTGGCTTAAGGACCGTATTCAGAGAGTTGAGATCAATGATTCATATTCTGAATGGTCTGAGGTTATTAGTGGTGTCCCCCAAGGTTCAGTGTTTGGGCCTCTTACTGTTAATCTTTTTATAAATGATATAGAGTTAATTAAAAGTACAATTTCTGTGTTTGCAGATGATACCAAGTGATATAGTGGAATACAGTCCTTACAGGATGTCTCCTTAAGCACTTACAAGCAGATCTGAATGCACTGTGTGATTGGGCATCTATTTGGCAAATGAGGTTTAATGTTGATAAATGTAAAGTTATGCACTTGGGGACTAAAAACATGCATGTGTCATACACTCTAGGGGGAGTATGTTTGGGGGGATCAATGATGGAGAAAGATCTGTGTGTACTGGTAGATCATAAACTGAATAATAGCATGCAATGTAAAGCGGCAGTTTCTAAAGCAAGCAAAATACTTTCTTGTATTAAAAGGGGCCTAGACTCCAGAGAGAGAGATACATCATCCTGCCCCTGTACAAAGCATTAGTAAGACCTCATCTGGAATTTGCAGCTCAGTTTTACGCAATAGTTTACAAAAATGATGTTGTGGAACTGGAGAAAGTGCAGAGAAGAGCAACTAAACTCATAGGAGGCATGGAGGAGCTCAGCTATGAGGGAAGATTAACTTTCTGAAATAATTGACCTGAATTTGATCTCTCTGGAGAAGAGGTGATTAAAGGGGGAGATGATCACCATGTATAAATACATAAATGGTCCATACAGTGAGCTTGGTGTCAAATTATTCACTTTAAGGTCACTGCAAAGTACTCTTTGTGTCTGGAGGAAAAGAGGTTTAACCTTTGCATACGGAAAGGATTCTTCACAGTTAGAGCTGTGAAAATGTGGAATAGGCTCCCCCAGGATCTAGTTCTAGCCAGCTCAGTTAACTGTTTAAAAAAAAATCTGGATGTATTCCTAAATGCACATAATATTACTGGATATTGAGTTCTTATACTGTAGGTAAATTAATCACCAAAGATTGTTGATCCAGGGAATATCCAATTGCCTTTTGGGATCAGGAAGGATTTTTTCCCTTGCTGGAAAAAAATCAACCATGCTTTATAGATTGTTTTGCCTTCCTCTGGATAAACAGTGGGTAACTGTGGGCATAGTGTTCTGTTTTAGGTTTTATGTTCTGTTTTAGGTTTTCCTTTTCTTTTTTTTCTTTTATCTCTATAGGAAGAACTCGATGGACTTTTTTCAGCCTGACTAACTATGTAACTATCATCAGGTAACAAAATAGTAATGGAAGTACACCATATCCACAGTTTATTTGCAATATACAAATATTATTCAATAATAAGAAAAAAGACATAAAATGATTTACAAACTTGTAAATATAAAAACATGGTTCATACATTTTCCTCTACTGTCAAAACGTACAGCTTGATCTTTAAAACAAGCAGTGTATATGAATAGTATTTCAAAGGAGCATTAACATACAGTTAAACATAAACAAGCTGAATCTGCAAAATCTGCAAGCATGCAAATACAGGGTTTAGTGGATTTTTTCAAATTATTGATTTTATGTGCAGCATCCAGTTTATGATTACTTAAAGTTGCAGTAAATGTTGACATTAGATGTTCTTGAGGATTAAGTTTTGGAAACACTGGTTTGGCAGTGTGGGTAAACCACTTAACATAAGTCAGTCTTTCTGGTTTTATTCAGGGAAAAAAACACAAACAGGGGGCGCCTTTCCTGGTGCAGACAAATTTATTAAGATCAGGATCAAAGGTAGATAAAAAACATACTCACAAAATTCAGCATGATAATTATATAAAAAGTAAGTCCATGGACCCAACAGAAAGTCTATGGAAGCTGCACAATCGTGTCTATGTGTCAGCAGAGGAGACTGTGTGATGACGCGTTTCCGGGGTCACGCCCCCTTCATCAGATGCCGACCACCTCCGTCCCATGTGCTAAATATAGTGGCAACTAGCCAATTGGTAGGTGTGCAGGAACAAAATCGGCTCAGACCGCAGCTGCTATGAATGTGTATAGAGTGTCATCCATGACTATAGAGGTGGAGCCCTGTCCTGTGACTAACGGGACTTTTTTCCCTAGATTTTGCGGTCTCCCTGGCTGGTTTGGGGGCAGCATCCTGCAGACCTTTCTACACACGTGCTTTTTATTATTTATATATTTTTTAACAGACTTGTTTCTGATTACACTTGTGCTTATATTGGTCCATACTGGCGGATTAGTCCTTTTTGGCGCTTTTCTGTGTTCATATCTTTCTGGTTTTATTCATTGTAGATAAAATATACACTTTTTGGCTAACATAAATGGGATAAACATTTTATATAGAGTTGAAAAAGCAGTGACAGGAACATATTCTTAGTACTAGGAAAATGATTTAATATAAACCATATATTTTTATTAAGCATATCATAGATTACGACTTATATATTGTATGTGTTTTTCACATTATATAGCTTCTAGTTTCCATATTTATTCTGGATTTACAGGCATGTCAGATTGTAGTTTGCATGCATGACCTAACACTGGGGATGTGACATTTCCATATGTATTATAAAATATTCTCTCTAAGTTTGAAGATCCTATCTAATTTTTTTGCCACATTTGCATCACTGCCAGGGCCAAAGTTCAAGGATTTACTGACAGAACACTTAAATTGTAACAGTAATCTTGTCGTAAAACTGTGCCCTCTTCCTACTATCGCTGTCATGGTAATAGAAAACTGACGCATATAAATAGTTTATCATTACCTTTCCTAAATACTAAAAGGGTATTTATGAACATGAAATGCATGTCACTACTTTGTTTTTACTTTTCTTGTGTACAGAAATATTTTTCATTATCTTTCAAGAAAATAAATAAGTTTGGTGCATCCTTAACCTGCATTTATCCATTTGAGCCAATAGGACCTTTCTAAAGATTTTAAACTTTTGTTCTGCTTTTGGTAACATTTGAAAGAAGAATTCTGGGCACAAATCTTATTAGCCCCTGCAACGGGACACGGGTTAACAGCTCATTAAAAGTTATACAAAAAAGTTATACTCAGCTCATGTTCGGTCTAAGAATTGGCCGGCTCTGAGCATCAGGTAAGTAGAACTGGTTTTTTTTACCCTAGGCTAAAATAAACAGTTAATAACATCTGTGCCCAGAGTTCTTATTTGAGCCTTGTTCATTTAGATGCCAGTTTATAAAGCAGTGGTATGGCCTAACTATATATACAGGTGAAACTCGAATAATTAGAATATCGTGCAAAAGTAATTGCAGTAAGTGCTGCAATAGGGGCCCAAACCAAGTGCTGAGTACATATGCATGCTTTTACTTTTCAGAGGTCCGATATTGTTCTATGTACAATCCTTTTTTATTGATTGCATGTAATAATCTACTTTTTTGAGGTTGTGGATTTGGGGTTCTTGGGGTTTTCATGAGCTGTAAGCCATAATCATCACAATTATGACAAATCACGGCTTGAACTATCTTGCTTTGCATGTAATGAGTCTATCTCATATATTAGTTTCACCTTTTAAGTTGCATTAGTGAAATAAATGAACTTTGCACGATATTCTAATTATTCGAGTTTCACCTGTATGTTGCTAAAAAACGAAAAAACAACCCTTAATTTGATTATTTATTATTGGTATTTATATAGCACCAACAATTTTATGCATCACTTAACACAGTGCACATTCACATAAGTCCCTGCCCTCAAAAGCTTACAATCGAAGGTCCCTATCTCACATGCATACATACGAGGGCTAATTTAGACAGGGGCCAATTAACCTACCAGTATCTCTTTGTAGTGTACCCGGAGGAAACCCATGCAATCACAGGGAGAACATGGAAACTCCATGAAAATAGTGACCTCCCATGTAAAGTGGGATGCACATTTCTAATAAATAGGAAAAAAGGACTAGGTTGGAAGAAACAGGACTCTCCTCCTATCCTATTTTCTGCAGCTTTATGCAAACATTGACACAAATAATATGCATAAATAATACATAGGACCCCAGTAGCATTGAAACAGAATTGGAGATGTATTACTGCACTTTTAGACTAATAATGTCTGAATAGAAGGGGCCATGCCAGTACAGACAATACAAATGTTGTACCATCTCTGTGTCTATTGCAGCCCTTATCAATGTGAATTAAGGGAATGGATGGGGGAATAAAGTTGCTGCCTTCCATAGGTCCCTATTCTGTCT